CTGGTCATTCACAACTATATCAGGATCAGGTGATAAGTACTGCCCACTGACCACATAATACCACCAACACCACCATCCACCAAATAAATCCTGATGTGACAATCGATTCAACAAGTTTTAAATGACTGCTCTGGCCACATGGCTTCGTTATAGAGATAACAGTTCTGTCAAGTCGTGTCTGACTTTTTCATTTTTGTTTTTTATGATTATTAAATAGTTCCTATTGCAATAGTAAGCATACAATGTATTACATGCCTCTTCATTACATAGATTTAAATGTTTCATTGAGGTTATCATTATTGATGGTAAAAGCCAAAAACAAAAATAAATCAATAATGGAATTGGGGAAATAAAATATTTGGATTTTTTTTTAGCAAAGTAACCGGAGTAGGTGAAGTAACCTTAGGTGTATACGTAACCGGANCCTTTTCCTATGCATACAGTGAATCAAGTTAGGGTACTGAAGTAATAAGGGAACTGAAGTAAATGCTTAAAAAAAATATACTAATAAAAGCTGATGACCTTGACTTTTGACCTAACAATATTAAATACTAATGTGCAATTTCAGTATGAAGTTTGAGCTTTGCAAAGAAAACAGTATAACAAGTACTGGTAGCCTCAGTCGTCACTGTATTGACAGTGTCTGACTACTAGCTTCAGTCATCACTGTATTGACAGTGTCTGACTTCTAGTTAATCCTAACTTCCCAAGTATTACCACCACTTATTTCTTCACTGAGATTATCATAAACTGATTCAAAATTACTTTATAACAAATAAATCAATTATTAAGATATAAATATTTAACTTAAAGACATTATTTGTAAACAGCAGAAAATATATTCATAAATGATATGCCAAACCTTTTTTGAATTATGAAAGGTTTAATAAATCAATTTCAGCATATAATCCCTATTTTAAAATGTAAATGAAAATTAAAAGGAAAATTTATTTGTTCAAACACACGAAAAAAAGAAAGAAAATGTATTTGTCTAAACACACAACAGCAATATTATACAGAGAAGCAAGGGGAGGTAATTTGTGAAGACCTTTTCTCTTTAGTTTATTTTAATAACATACATGTGTACTCTATGGGTAAAACGCTGAGAATTAAAAGAAAAAATTGAAACAAGAAATATGTATAAAAATACATGACCAGGTTTTCTTGTATATATTTATAAATATGAGGACTTGTGTACCTTTAGCCTGTGACATATGAACTGATGAGGGGTTATTAAGGAAATATCACAGTGCATCAAGAAATAATCTAAAACTAAATATCACAGTGTATCATGAAATAATCTAAATAAAAAAAACCCCACTGTATCGTGAAATAATCTAAATCTAAATATCACACTGTGTCATCAGATTCATGAAATAATCTAAACCTAAATATCACAGTGTATCACGAAATAATCTAAATCTAAATATCACAGTGTATCATGAAATAATCTAAATATAAAAAAAAAACCTGTATCGTGAAATAATCTAAATCTAAATATCAAACTGAGTCATCAGATTCATGAAATAATCTAAATCTAAATATCACAGTGTGTCACGAAATAATCTAAACCTAAATATCACAGTGTATCAAGAAATAATCTTAAACTAAATATCACAGTGTATCATGAAATAATCTAAATAAAAGAAAAACCCACTGTATCGTGAAATAATCTAAATCTAAATATCACACTGTGTCATCAGATTCATGAAATAATCTAAATCTAAATATCACAGTGTATCATGAAATAATCTAAATCTAAATATCACAGTGTATCACAATGTCAAGTTTTTGAAGGATAAGTCTTTTAGACTCCGGGACCAGGACTTTAATCCCTACCGTCCATATGGTCTACCTTGGCCTGAGAAACTTGTTAAACCCTTACTGCACATTTACATACATCATTGTGTAACACTTTGTCAAATTTCAAAAAGATTAGTCATTCACTTTCTGAAATAATGACTTTATTTCATCAATATATTGCTCTTTTTATTTCAATTACAACATTTAAAATTGAATCGTTTATGCAATTTTTTGTGATTTCACATAAAAAAATCCCAAAGTATCTCTTAAAGTATCTATTTTTTTACTGAAATTGGTAATAGTTTGCTTAAATCCAGACCTTTTAAAGAAAAAAGTGGATAAAAAATCCCCCCCTCAAAAAAAGAGAAAAACACTGGAGGTGAAAACATGGTGTAATGAAAGAAGCAATGTAGGTGGTGTTTTCTACTTCTAGCAAATCACCCCAACTGTGAAATTTACTGAAATTATTTCAATAGAAAACTGAGAATACATATATGTAGAAAAGACCTTAACCAGTATACTAGTGATGACAACTAGCTAGCACTATACGATGAGACAGACTAACCAGTGATGGGTAAAACACACCGATCAGCTAATCAAGTAACTGGTTAATCTCACAATAGCTTGAAGAATTATAATTTTAGAAGATTATTTTCAAACTTAAAACATTGGGCCATTGGGACATATACCAAACACAGCACTTTTTATACAGTACATTTACAAGCCAGTCTCTAGTTCAGGAGAACAACAGTTGGACTTAACAAAGCTTCACAGCAATCATTTAGTTTGACCATAGTTAAGTTAAAATTATAGGTAGAAATGACACAAAATGTATTTCTGTGGAAAAAAAGTCCATGACAGAGACATCCAAACGAAAGATTACAAAGTATGGTGAGGCCCTAATAGTGGGGTCCAACAGTCGTTACCTCCTCATAGAACGTGACTCGTAAAACAATGAACCAACAAATAATGATAGGAACTGGAGATGAAGGAGAGAGGATAGAAGAAACACTGGCTTACGTCGTATCCCTTTAGGACTGCAATATGGAAGGATAACAGCTGCATGGGTATAACGGTGAGAATGCCCTGCAGGCAGTCCACGGTGTGGGGAAGTTCCAGGTATTTATAGGCAGACTTTTGGGCCTCCAGGTCTCCTCGTGTACAAAGTAAAATGGGGCGGCCCTATAATAAGATCAAAGTAGGCCACACCCTGTAACTGTCAATCACAACTGGAAGTGACATCCTCAGAACCAAACAAGCTGTTTATGGTTCTGCGGGGGGCAGCAATTAGATTAGGTACAACCTCATTGCACTGTATGCAAATGATCTGCTGGGAATGACATAAATCAGGTGCCGCTCGACCCTCGCTAAACAAAGACTTTCACAAACCTCTCATGCTTGTCCACAAGAACTGCAGGGCAACAGGCAAAGGGAGATCACTGGAGACTATCTCCAAGCATTCTACTACTAATCCTGTACAGCTAGCATTCAAAGATTACATGTACTGACAGTATTTCATTTCCATCTTTTTCTTCTTCTTTGCTTTTCTTTTTGTTTGTTTCTAAATTACTATTATTTCCTGTTTTATTCATTAACTTAATATGCTTAAAGATTCTATCTAATAAACATTGAAACATGCCTTGTTTAGTTAAAGTAACACAAACAAAGTCATTGTTGGAAAAAACACAAAGCAAAGATGGAAACAAATACAAATGAGTTCAAGTAATCTTGTTCAAAAATCTTGGTCAATGGTTAAAATGGTCAATGCAAAGGCATGCAAACTCTTTTTCATTTTTTTTTTTGCTGGAAATAAATATTTTCCTAATGACATGGCTTCAATATCATTCACACATCTTACCTTGGATATTTTCCTTAACATAATTTTTCATAGGGGAATGTTCTCAACACCAGAGCCATAAATTCTTACAAAAACAAAAATGAATTTCCGATGCATGACCATATATAGGTATTACCATAAGCATTTATAAGCCAAGCAGGTAAAGTAAGCAATGATTGTGCAGTAATAATGGTTGAGTGTAGTTGAGTATAGTTGCATGCTGTTCAAAAGCCAATGGACACAATCCAAGCGTCAGACTTTCTTACATCTAAATTCTTTAAGGTGGCAATATGCATGGATATCAATTGCATTGGTATAATGGTAAGGACGCCTTGCAGGCAGTCAATGGTATTAGGCACACCAATATATTTTGTGGCTTGCGATTGCGTTTCCACATCACCGCTGTTGCAAACAATGATAGGTTCACCCTAAAAATACAACAATAAAAAATATGAAAATAAACCCTTTATAAAGAGGTGGTTTCTTTATATAAACATCTGACAATAAAATATAACATCATAAAGTATGACCATTGTAGACAAGAGGCCCAAGAGGGCCTGTATCGCTCACCTGAATATTCAAGCAGTCATAGCAAAATATTCTCATTAAATATTATATTGCACTAAAAATATTTCCCTCGCAAACTTTGTTGGCTCCATCTGTTGAAACTACCAGCAAAATATTATTATAAGATTCTATGCTTTTTGATTCTTCTTCAGAAGTTGCTTGACATATTTTTCCCTCTGATCTTGTAAGTAGGTCAATGTCATTTTCCTTCTCAAATTGGTTAGCTCTATTCCAAAAAGCTACCAGCCAAATCCTATGAATCCATTCCTTTTAGTTCTCAAGAACAAATCCATTAAAATGTTGTTGACCTCTGTGACCTCTAAAGAAGGTTGAGGTCATTTTCATTTGCAAAATTTGGTGAGCTCTATCCCGGGAAATCACCAGCCAAATATTATAATTTTATGCCTTTTAATTCTTCAGAAGAAGCTGTTTGAACTGTTTGACATATTTGAACGCTGTGACCTTGAAAGTAGGTCAAGGTCATTTTCATTCGCAATCTTTGTTTGGCTCTTTCCCAGGAAGCCACTTGCCAAATATTAAGATTTTATAACTACCAGTTCTTCAGAAGAAGTCGTTTGAAGTGTTTGACACATTTGACCCCTGTGACTTTGAAAGTAGGTCAGGGTCATTTTCATTCTCAAACTTTGTTGGGCTCTATCCCAGAAAGCCACCAGCCAAATATAAAGATTCTATACCTTTCAGTTCTTCAGAAGAAGTCGTTTGAAGTGTTTGACACATTTGACCCCTGTGACTTTGAAAGTAGGTCAAGGTCATTTTCATTCTCAAACTTTGTTGGGCTCTATCCCAGGAAGCCATCAGCCAAATATGAAGATTCTATACCTTTTAGTTCTTTAGAAGAAGTCGTTTTAAGTTTTTGACATATTTGACCCCTGTGACCTTGAAAGTAGGTCAAACTAGTTTTCATTCTCAAACTTTGTTGGGCTCTATCCCAGAAAGCCACCAGCCAAATATAAAGATTCTATACCTTTCAGTTCTTCAGAAGAAGTCGTTTGAAGTGTCCGACACATTTGACTCCTGTGACCTTGAAAGAAGGTCAAGGTCATTTTCGTTCTCAAACTTTGTAGGGCTCCTACCAACGAAGCTTTCAGCCAAATATCATGAATCTAGGCCTGTCCGTTCTTCAGAAGAAGTTGTTTAAAGGAAAAGTTGATGGACGAGGACGGACGGACGGCGGACGGACACCGCGCCACGGCATAAGCTCACTTGGCACTTTGTGCCAGGTGAGCTAACAAGTAACCATATAAGTACATTATTGGTAAGGGAATCCCTTGGAGATGGCATCACTCACCTGTTATTTATAAGTAAATTATTGGTAAGGGAATCCCTTGGAGAGGGTATCACTCACCTGTTGTTTATAAGTACATTATTGTTAAGGGAACCCCTTGCAGATTGTATCACTCACCTGTTATTTTTAAGTGCATTATTGTTAAGGGAACCCCTTGCAGATTGTATCACTCACCTGTTATTTATAAATACATTATTGGTAAGGGAATACCTTGGAGATGGTATCACTCGCCTGTTATTTATAAGTAAATTATTGGTAAGGGAATCCCTTGGAGATGGTATCACTCACCTGTTATTTTTAAGTACATTATTGTTAAGGGAATCCCTTGCAGATTGTATCACTCACCTGTTATTTAATGCTCTTGGAAAAAGAAATAGTCAATGCTGAATGCTTACCTAATCTATGCCAATGAAGAAGCTATGGTGGTTATGTTGGTTCAAGTTCTTGAATATCATACAAGGTCACTTATTGGACAAACCTGATAGTCCTTCATTCCATTATTCTTTACTTTATGCCTCAGAAATCACAAGATGTCATTTAGATTTCAAAACATTTTACCTGTGTCCTGGAATGTGGGATAGCGTCGTTTATTTGAAAACAGTTAATAGCATCATGACCCTAGGCTTTATGGTTCTTTAGGAGAATTTGTTTAAAAGAAAAAAATCATGGCAGAAGAACACTGCGTCATGGCATAACGTTAATCTCATCGGCACTTCATGTCAGGTAAACTGATAAATATACAGGTGGCCCAAATGGGGCCTTAATTGCTCACCTGGCTATTCTGGAATTGAGGTTGAAATCTGTTTAGAAGTTAGGGGGGAGAGCCCTCTGGAAAGTAAGCTACTTTATTCGAGAAAATTTAAAGATCCATGGGCTAAGCATGCTGAAACTATAATTTGGCTAAAATCACCCAGTATTTCGGAAGGATGTGTAACTTAAAGCAAATCAGCCAATCCAGCCCCTTAGCCCCAAGGAGGGTCAGCCCCTTTATTTGTACAATTTTTGATACTGATGGTCTAAGCATGCAACTGTTACAATTGTTGAAATCTTTAAGCAGTTTGTGAGGAGAAACAGTTCAAACAAATCAGCCAATCTTACCCCTCTCGCCAAGCCCCACAAACCCAAGGATGTTCAGCCCTTTTTTTTGTAACTTTTGATCCCGATGGGTTAAGCAAGCTATGACTACAATGTGGTTGAAATCTGTTAAGAAGTTGAGAGGATATATCATTTAAGGAACAAGAGGCCCAGGGGCCTTAATAGCTAACCTGGTATTTTATTTTTCAATTTAAAACCTGCCGAGTACCATACAGGTTTATCAAAGGAGTACAAGAAACAAAGTTGCAAGAAGAACTAACTACATGTAAATCTGTTTTGGTGGGAAAGACACCAAGAAAATGAGTTTCCATGGTATGTCCCAATTTTCCTCTATTTCCCCTATTGGACTTCACATGCACCTTTTTTATACAAATTAAACAAATTGAGGTTTTTTCCTCTAGGCATGCTTCAGACCACATTTGGTATAAATCACTTCGTTTGTACAGAAGGGAAAATATTTTTTCTCAATTTCCCCTATACTCCTATGCCCCTGGGGGGGTGCACATCTTCCATTTATAGCCCGAAGATTCTCTAGAACAAGTTTGGGTAAAATCCCTTCAACAGTACAGAAGAAGAAGGATCTTTAATGTTTTCCTCTATTTCCCCTATTGGGCCCCACCCATCTGCCACAAAGAAGCATGCTTCAGAATGCATTTTGTTTAAATCCCTTCACTTATGTAGTAGGAGATAAAAGAAATCCTCTATTTCCTGTATTGGGCCCGGCCCCTCTGCCCCCAGATGGGCCACACCCTCCGTTTATACAAACTTTAGGCTCTTTTGTCCAAAAATGGTCTAGAATAAATTTGGTCAAAATCCTTCTATTGGTTGAGAGGAAGAAGATTTTTAAAGATTTACCTATTTCCCCCTATTTGGCCCCGCCCCTCTGCCCTCCAGGGGAGCCATACCTTCTGTTCAATGATGCTTCAGACCAAATTTGGTCAAAATCCTCTGAGCCGTTAAGGACTAGTAGCGTTTTAAAGGAAAAAGTTGACGGACGACGGACACAGCGCCATGGCATAAGCTCACTTGGCCCTTCGTGCCAGGTGAGCTCAAAATCATGTTGTGGCCTTTTAACCCAGCCCATTAGCCCCCTGGAGGATCAGCCTCTTTTTTGTATAACTGATTCTTATTGCCCTAGAATGCTAGCTCTATTGTTTAGGCGAAAATGTGAAATAGAAAAGTTGATGGACTACAGATGACAGACGACAGACAGAGCACCACCACATAAGCTTGCCCAGGTACTTTGTACAAGGCAGGCTAAAAAAGAGCAAATGTAAACACAATACTAAAAAAAAAACCAATGATATGATAAACCCAGTTAGTATTGTACTCCAATGCCAACAGTTCAGTTCCTGTAAAAACAATCTCAGTCATAAATACAGGATGCTCGTCCATACTTCACATATTTCCCTCTTAATGTAAAACTAAAGTATTTTTTGTATCTTAGATGTTGAAGATCAATTAGAGAGTATTCATCCAGTTCCATCTTCTATACATATATCTTGTATATAAGTGTTGGTAATATCTACAAGTTTGTGATGGTATGTGTTGGTAAAATCAACAAGCACACTCTGGTAAATGCCTAATGGGTTTCCTAGTAAGTTTGGAGTTTTAACCCAAGCCCACATCCCAACTTGGTACAAGTTTTCAAGAGTCAAGAATCTGTAGTCACATCTGTCAGAGAACACAGTACACTATGTCATAGTAATTACTGCTAGCCTAAATAAAGTGTTTAGGAGGCCTCTCAGAATCAAACATGTTTAGTGTTTAAACCTTGATAATTTTTACAAAGAAACTTTGCTGCTGGCAAATGTCAAACAACATGTGGTGTATTATTACAATGATCTCCAATTTTTCAGAGTTATCGTAAAGGGATCTCGTTATGTAGATGACCAGTCATATATATATATACACCATACTAGATTAATGGAATTACTTATATAACATGTCAGAGTTAGGTGCTGTGTTTAAATTTTGTGCTTCAATGTCAGCAACAAGGCTAAACTATAATTACCATATTATATAAGTTATCAATAACTCAACTACAAAGTAATTACCATATTATATATGTTATCAATAACTCAACTACATGTACAAAGTAACTACCATATTATATATGTTATCAATAACTTACTTACAAAGTAATTATCATATTATATATGTTATCACTAACTCAACTACAAAGTAATTACCGTATTATATATGTTATCAATAACTTACCTACAAAGTAATTATAAATGTAGAAAGCCTATTAAAGTTACATAATTTTACTGCATCCTACGCTTTATCAAATGTTGTATATTAGGTTATTATTACTTCAACGCAAGTTACACCAGTTGTACTCAGTTCAAAGTAATATGTCTTAAGTGTCCTGCCGTAGAAATACAGCAAAATGGTTCGCTACCTATAAAACTCTTTGTACCATTACATATTTTTAACTCTTGACTACAAAGCTAACTTATCATTATAGTAATACTGTGTGTTAACTGTGGTAGAATAGTTTCCAGCCACAACTTATGGAAGCTCTAGTGCAGAAAGGAATCAACAAATGTGACTGAAGTATGTTATCAAGTTCTGTACAGATTTCACTATGTTACCTCACATCAAGTCAAGTTTGGAGTCCTTGCACCATATCGTGCAAAAGATGTAGCTGAAAGAAGTATCTATAAAAAGGGCCTAACTCCCATAAAGATCACACATTCTGTTTGTTATTCCTCATAGCCTCCAGGTTCCTTATACATATCAGATGACCAAGTTTCAATGTTAGCCAATCATATAAAGGATAGTCATCCGGAAAAAATCAATGACCAATGAGGTTGCATAAATTCACATTAATTGAAAATGTGTAAACAATGGATACATCCATGGAAAATGAGTAAATTGTAAACAATGGATACATCCATGGAAAATGAGTAAACAATGGAAAAATAAACAAAAATCATGCCAAAATAATCATGCTTCAATGGATGCATAACATTCTTTAAAGTTCCTAACATTCAGATGTATATTGATATTTTATCTAATGTAAGAGAAATAGTGCCTCTATATATATATATATAAATAAAACAAAACTCTGAAGAGTAAATGTATATATATAAAAAAAAAAAATACGAAGAGTTTCTAAGTACTTCCCTACCACTTTCACCTCTTTAGAGGTTCATCAGGGGAACTGTTTCTTTATGTTGTCCTGTCAACATAAATAAACAGTTCCCCTGATAAACAACATGAATAAACAGTTCCCCTGATAAACAACATGAATAAACAGTTCCCCTGATGAACCTCTAAAGAGATGAAAGCGCTAGGGAGATACTTAGAAACTCTTTGTATTTTTTTTTATATTTAACCATCACAAGGACTTTGAATGTTTTTCTGATTTATATATACATATATATATATATATATACACAAGTGTGAGTTAATCTACAGCTGAAGGAGGAGACAGCCTTGGCATTGCTCCCTATCACACTCGATCACTACAGCCTTGGGAAAGGCATTGCTCCCTATCACCCTCGATCACTACAGCCTTGGGAAAGGCATTGCTCCCTATCACACTCGATCACTACAGCCTTGGGAAAGGCATTGCTCCCTATCACACTCGATCACTACAGCCTTGGGAAAGGCATTGCTCCCTATCACACTCGATCACTACAGCCTTGGGAAAGGCATTGCTCCCTATCACACTCGATCACTACAGCCTTGGGAAAGGCATTGCTCCCTATCACACTCGATCACTACAGCCTTGGGAAAGGCATTGCTCCCTATCACACTCGATCACTACAGCCTTGGGAAAGGCATTGCTCCCTATCACACTCGATCACTACAGCCTTGGGAAAGGCATTGCTCCCTATCACACTCGATCACTACAGCCTTGGGAAAGGCATTGCTCCCTATCACACTCGATCACTACAGCCTTGGGAAAGGCATTGCTCCCTATCACACTCGATCACTACAGCCTTGGGAAAGGCATTGCTCCCTATCACACTCGATCACTACAGCCTTGGGAAAGGCATTGCTCCCTATCACACTCGATCACTACAGCCTTGGGAAAGGCATTGCTCCCTATCACACTCGATCACTACAGCCTTGGGAAAGGCATTGCTCCCTATCACACTCGATCACTACAGCCTTGGGGAAGGCATTGCTCCCTATCACACTCGATCACTACAGCCTTGGGAAAGGCATTGCTCCCTATCACACTCTATCACTACAGCCTTGGGGAAGGCATTGCTCCCTATCACACTCGATCACTATCTGCTTTTTTAAAATGTACAACATCAACATGCATTCATTCATCAAATTCATCAAAGTAAGAACGTTTGGACTAATTTTGAGGATATTGGTTCATCGTAGCTGTAGACGCTATAGTGTAATGGCTTCCTTTGCTTAATACATTTCTACCTTCTTTTTACGGAGAGTTTCTCCCTCAAACATTATCAGAATACCACTTCATTTCCTGTGTGAGCTTCTATGAACAATTTCCTGTGTGAGCTTCTATACACAATCTTATCGATAATCAGTAAAAAAATTCAGACAAACAATCTTATTGTTAATCAGTAACAAAAAAATCAGACAAACAATCTTATTGTTAATATACAGTCTAACCTCGTTATCGTGAACTTTTTTAACTCGAAGACCCCGTTTATCTTTAAGTATTTCTTCGGTCCCGGCCAAACCTCTTCTTTATCTTTGTAAATAAAACTCTGATAATTCAAACCCTGAAAAGTCGAAAAACTTGGATACCTCGAAGTAAGATATTGGTTTCGATAGTGTAAATCTAACATCAAAACATCGTCTACTGCATAGTGTTCAAATTTCATTTTGTCACTTATTAATTCTTTGATACAAGTAAAACGCAAAAATACAATATATCGCCATTCCGTGTTTATGAACATCTTATGACTAGCGTGAAATCGGTAAATTAATTTACGATAAAGCTTCAGACTGTAAAGTGTGCTGTCAAAACCATGTTGTTTATAATAAAAAACAAACTTCATCAATGTTGATCAACAGTATTCTGTACTTACTGCGAGTCTGTTTAATGATTTGTACACCAAAACAGACGACAGTGCAAACCGGAAAATTGGTCACAAAGCTTGGTCATGCATAAAAGAGTTCCACTGTTAAAATCATAACCTAAGACAGCTTCACAGGTTCATGTTTTTACAGGAGCTAGTATGGCTTTGAAAGTCGATCGAGAGACTTAAGAACAATACGATAATTGATGTTGATTACATCGAGTTGAGGAGGTGTCAGGTGTCACATTTGGCTTTAATGAATCAATGTACAATAAAATCGTTTTGTATGTGTTTTCATTTACAGAATCAACTACGTGCACACTCCATTACAGTGAGTTGTTTTAGACTTGCACACTTTCATTTACGCATTGTAAAGTACGAGGTAGAAGCAAGCGGGATAGTTCGATTTTTTTAATGTAGCACATCAGAAGAAAAACTTGAGGGACTTGCAAATACAAATGTAGACCTGGAAAGATTTGCCAAGATCTAAACTAGCCAAAAACAATAATTTAATAACTAGGCCCGTCCATATTTAATAACGAATTCACAATGTGGTCTAACCGTTTTGATAGCGTTAAACGAAAGTACAATTTTTGGAAATAACTATTTCGTAACAAGAGGGCCATGGGCCTTAACGGTCACCTGAGTCCTACAGTATTTATTTTTGTTGTTGAAATATGTACCAATTTGAGTAAAAAATTGTTAAGTATAACGTTAACTTAAGTTTGTCAGGACCATGAGCTGATCATTCCTAGACCGATTTTCAGTTAGATCGGCCCATTAGAACTTGTTTTCAAGTTTGAAATAGGTATTTTCAAAATAGTGGCCATGGCAGCCAAATTGTATTTCTGATCGACCTGAAAAATAACAAAACTTTGTCAGGACCATGAGTCATCATTCCTACAAAGTTTCAGTTCAATCAGCCAAGTAGAACTTGACTTTAAGTTTGAAATAGTTTTTCAAAATGGCGTCCGTGGTGGCCATATTGGATTTCTGATTGACCCGAAAAATAACAACACTTTGTCAGGACCATGAGTGGATCATTCCTACAAAGTTTCAGTTCAATCGGCCTAGCAGAACTTGATTTTTAAGTTTGAAATAGTTTTTCAAAATGGCGGTCGTGGTGGCCATATTGGATTTCTGATTGACCCGAAAAATAACAACACTTTGTCAGGACCATGAGTCGATCATTCCTACCAAGTTTCAGTTCAATCGGCCCAGCAGAACTTGATTTTAAGATTGAAATAGTTTTTAAAAATGGTGTCCGTGGCGGCCATATTGTTCAGGTGACCTAATAAAATCAACAACTGCCTGTGCTATGTCCAAACAGCAAATTTCATACCAAATTTATGAACCCGCATAACTGGAATACCTGACAAGGTTCAACTGTACATTCAAAATCGAAAAAAACAGTCTGTTGCAGATATAGAACATCACTTGTTTATATAAAATGTATGCATACAGACTTGAATGTTTTGAAATTGTTGAGTAGGTGGCAGTTTTGAGATTAATTGGTATGTATTTTTACTTAACTGAATAAATTTGTTGTCGAGTTAATTTCCCTTATCCATCATATCCCAAAAACTTCCAAACTAGTACTAGCGTAAAAATTAACCAGTCTTTATACAGCTTAGCTTGACACAAAATATATATAAAGAAACGGACAATTATCTCACCGAAACCCACACAGGAAGTGAAGTTCTTAAATGTCATCCTGTCCAAAATCAGTGATTTACAAAGTTTAACGGAACAAGCGTTGAGAAGCTGTGAGTATTAAAGTATTCAAAAGCCATCAGCTGTATTGTGTCTACAGCAAATAATTCAGTAAAAGTCAAGAACATCAATTAAAATATGTAAACAATATGTAGGCTGTATGATACTATATTTTATAAAATCTTCAATTATTTTATTGTTATACAATGAAAAGTGACAATTTTTCTGTTACAATATTAATTACTACATTTGACTCACAGATTTAATGTATCATTATCTTTACTAAAATTAAATATTTCATTAATAAATAGTAGGTTAAATAATGATATACTGAGTACTTACTTGTCTTGCCTTTACTTGTTGAAGGGCATTCATACACTTCTGTAAACAGAGGAGGAATGATACTAGTCGTCTACACACACAGCAACCAGTGCTGTGTATATACAGAGGGAGAATCATACTAGTCGTCTACACACAAAACAACTAGTGCTGCGTATATACAGAGGGAGAATCATACTAGTCGTCTACACACACAGCAACCAGTGCTGTGTTGTGTATATACAGAGGGAGAATCATACTAGTCATCTAGACACACAGCAACCAGTGCTGTGTATATACAGAGGGAGAATCATACTAGTCGTCTACACACACAACAACTAGTGCTGTCTATATACAGAGGAGGAATCATACTAGTCGTCTACACACACAACAACCAGTGCTATCTCTATACAGCGGGAGAATCATACTAGTCGTCTACACACACAGCAACCAGGGCTGTCTTTATACAGAGGAAGAATCATACTAGTCGTCTACACACACAGCAACCAGTGCTGTCTTTATACAGAGGAAGAATCATACTAGTCGTCTACACACACAACAACCAGTGCTGTCTTTATACAGCGGAAGAATCATACTAGTCGTCTACACACACAACAACCAGTGCTGTGTATATACAGAGGAAGAATCATACTAGTCGTCTACACACACAACAACCAGTGCTGTCTTTATACAGCGGGAGAATCATACTAGTCGTCTACACACACAACAACCAGTGCTGTCTTTATACAGAGGAAGAATCATACTAGTCGTCTACACACACAACAACCAGTGCTGTCTTTATACAGAGGAAGAATCATACTAGTCGTCTACACACACAACAACCAGTGCTGTCTTTATACAGAGGAAGAATCATACTAGTCGTCTACACACACAACAACCAGTGCTGTCTTTATACAGAGGAAGAATCATACTAGTCGTCTACACACACAACAACCAGTGCTGTCTTTATACAGAGGAAGAATCATACTAGTCGTCTACACACACAACAACCAGTGCTGTCTTTATACAGAGGAAGAATCATACTAGTCGTCTACACACACAACAACCAGTGCTGTCTTTATACAGAGGAAGAATCATACTAGTCGTCTACACACACAACAACCAGTGCTGTCTTTATACAGCGGGAGAATCATACTAGTCGTCTACACACACAACAACCAGTGCTGTCTTTATACAGAGGAAGAATCATACTAGTCGTCTACACACACAACAACCAGTGCTGTCTTTATACAGAGGGAGAATCATACTAGTCGTCTACACACACAACAACCAGTGCTGTCTTTATACAGAGGAGGAATCATACTAGTCGTCTACACACACAACAACCAGTGCTGTCTTTATACAGAGGGAGAATCATACTAGTCGTCTACACACACAACAACCAGTGCTGTCTTTATACAGAGGAAGAATCATACTAGTCGTCTACACACACAACAACCAGTGCTGTCTTTATACAGAGGGAGAATCATACTAGTCGTCTACACACACAACAACTAGTGCTGTCTTTATACAGAGGAAGAATCATACTAGTCGTCTACACACACAACAACCAGTGCTGTCTTTATACAGTTAAGCCACACCAGCACATTTCTTTTCATTTTTTGTTTCACCAGATTCTTTTACATAACTGCTGAAGTAAGTCAGCCATGTTAAACCCCTTTCACATACAACCTACATTTTTTTGGTCATACAATTTGAGTTGGGTAATGAAAGACAGGACTGACATAGGTTAGGGGGCGGTGTAAGGTGTAAGACGGGACGGACATAGGTTAGGGGGCGGGGTAAGATGTAAGACGGGACTGACATAGGTTAAGTGGCGGTGTAAGGTGTAAGACGGGACGGACATAGGTTAGGGGGCGGTGTAAGGAGTAAGACGGGACTGACATAGGTTAAGTGGCGGTGTAAGGTGTAAGACGGGGCTGACATAGGTTAGGGGGCGGTGTAAGACAGGACTGACATAGGATAGGGGGTGGTGTAAGGTGTAAGACGGGACTGACAGAGGTTAGGGGGCGGTGTAAGGTGTGAGACGGGACTGACATAGGGTAGGGGGCGGTGTAAGGTGTGAGACGGGACTGACATAGGTTAGGGGACGGTGTAAGGTGTAAGACGGGACGGACATAGGTTAGGGGGCGGTGTAAGGGGTGAGACGGGACTGACATAGGTTAGGGGACGGTGTAAGGTGTAAGACGGGACGGACATAGGTTAGGGGGCGGTGTAAGGCAGGACTGACATAGGTTAGGGGGTGGTGTAAGGCGTAAGACGGGACTGACATAGGTTAGGGGGCGGGGTAAGATGTAAGACGGGACTGACATAGGTGAGGGGGCGGTGTAAGATGAAAGACGGGACTGACATAGGTGAGGGGGCGGTGTAAGATGAAAGACGGGACTGACATAGGTTAGGGGGCGGTGTAAGACAGGACTGACATAGGTTAGGGGGTGGTGTAAGGTGTAAGACGGGACTGACATAGGTTAGGGGGCGGTGTAAGGTGAAAGAACACCATCTTTAGCTCAATTTACTACAGATGTGGGTCAAAACACAGTCACAGAGTTATTGTTGGAAATTCCTTCAACTCTGAGTGCCTAAGATGACCCAAAACTCTATGACAAGGGTTTACACAGAATTTTACTCTCCAAACACCTAAATTTCATGACACACTTATGACTGTCATTGTAAATCCCCCATTTTTCTGTCACTGACTTGCTGTTGGACATAAGACACATGTATAAGTGGTTACAAGATGTTTTCTGAGCGTACCGAGTAGACTTTGTCCCGGGTGATGACCATCATGACTGGCATGGCTTTGTCCACCAGGGCCAGAGGGCCATGCTTCAGCTCTCCAGCCATGATTCCCTCTGAGTGCATGTACGTCAATTCTTTGATTTTCTGTAAAACAAATAAATCATGAAAAAATGCAAAACATGCTGATAAATTATACTGCATTTGTCCTTATAATCTACATGCAGGGTCCTACATTATACTACATGTATCGATATAAAAGCTTCTGTCAGAACAGCATCAATACAGCCACAAACGTCTCCTTACATTCACTTTGGCACTATTCTACTACGAGCTATTTAATCCAGGTTTTAATACATTGGTCAACATGGATATCCCACTTTACAAGGTTGTGTTGTATATATTTTATAATTATTATATATATCCAAAAATAATTAGTAGGTGACTTACCAATGCTCCTTCGAGACAGGTGGCAAAGTTGTAGCCGCGTCCCATGACGAGCAGACTCTTCTGCTGGTAGAGTTCCTGGGAGAGGGTATGGATCTGGTCATCCATGTCTAACACCTCTTTGATCAGATCTGGCGAGCAAACAAAAAATGTGTATGATAAGTTTAATGCAATACAAATCTGAAAGAAGAATTGTCAAAGTGACAAATTAACTTGCTGCAGTTGAAGTTTGGGTTTACAAATAAGACAAGCTTATTAATCCATCAACAATTCTAATACTCTCAGACATGTTTTTTAGTTGTTTTGTTCCATGCAGTTGTGACTTCTCAGAATTAAGATGCATCCTCATGGAAGGAATGGAAATGTTTCGCAGTCGTATATACCTGGCAGGTCGTGGAGACAGTCACATATACCTGGCAGATCGTGGAGACAGTCAGATATACCTGGCAGGTCGTGGAGACAGTCGTATATACCTGGCAGGTCGTGGAGACACAGTCATATATACCTGGCAGGGCGGGGAGACACAGTCGTATATCCCTGGCAGCAGTCCTATATACCAGGCAGGTCGGGGAGACACAGTCGTATATACCTGGCAGGTCGTGGAGACACAGTCATATATACCTGGCAGGTTGTGGAGACAGTCGTATATACCTGGCAGGTCGTAGATACAGTCGTATATACCTGGCAGGTCAGGGTGACACAGTCGTATATACCTGGCAAGTCGTGGAGACAGTCATATATCCCTGGCAGGTCGTGGAGACAGTCATATATACCTGGCAGGTCGTGGAGACAGTCATATATACCTGGCAAGTCGTGGAGACAGTCACATATACCTGGCAGGTCGTGGAGACAGTCATATATACCTGGCAGGTCGTGGAGACAGTCGTATATACCTGGCAAGTCGCAAGTCGTGGAGACAGTCATATATACCTGGCAGGTCGTTAAGACAGTCATATATACCTGACAGGTCGTGGAGACACAGTCATGTATATCTGGCAGGTCAGAGGAACATAGTCATATATATCTAGCAGGTCGTGAAGACAGTCATATATCCCTGGCAGGTCGTGGAGACAGTCGTATATACCTGGCAAGTCGCAAGTCGTGGAGACAGTCATATATAGCTGGCAGGTCGTTGAGACAGTCATATATACCTGGCAGGTCGGGGAGACACAGTCGTATATCCCTGGCAGGTCAGGGAGACACAGTCGTATATACCTGGCAGCAGTCATATATACCTGGCAGGTCGTAGAGAAAGTCGTATGTACCTGGCAAGTCGTGGAGACAGTCATATATCCCTGGCAGGTCAGGGTGACAGTAATATATACCTGGCAGGTCGTAGAGACAGTCGTATATACCTGGCAGGTCGTGAAGACAGTCGTATATACCTGACAGGTCGTGGAGACAGTCGTATATACCTGGCGGGCGGGGGAGACACAGTCGTATATACCTGGCAAGTCGTGGAGACAGTCACATATACCTGGCAGGTCGTGGAGACAGTCACATATACCGTATATACCTGGCAGGTCGTGGAGACAGTCGTATATACCTGGCAAGTCGCAAGTCGTGGAGACAGTCATATATAGCTGGCAGGTCGTTGAGACAGTCATATATACCTGGCAGGTCAGGGGGACAGTAATATATACCTGGCAGGTCGTAGAGACAGTCGTATATACCTGGCAGGTCAGGGAGACACAGTCGTATATACCTCGCAGGTCGGGGGAACACAGTCGTATATACCTGGCAGGTCGGGGAGACAGTCTTATATATCTGGCAGGGCGTGGAGACAGTCGTATACACCTGGCAGGTCGTGGAGACAGTCATATATACCTGGCAGGTCGTGGAGACAGTCGTATATACCTGGCAGGTCAGGGAGACACAGTCGTATATACCTCGCAGGTCGGGGGAACACAGACGTATATACCTGGCAGGTCGGGGAGACAGTCTTATATATCTGGCAGGGCGCGGAGACAGTCGTATACACCTGGCAGGTCGTGGAGACAGTCATATATACCTGGCAGGTCGTGGAGACAGTCATATACCTGGCAGGTCGTGGGGACACAGTCAAATATACCTGGCAGGTCGTGGAGACAGTCGTATATACCAGGCAGGTCGGGGAGACACAGTCGTATATACCTGGCAGGTTGGGGAGACACAGTCATATATACCTGGCAGGGTGGGGAGACACAGTCGTATATACCTGGCAGGTCGTGAAGACAGTCGTATATACCTGACAGGTCGTGGAGACAGTCGTATATACCTGGCAAGTCGTGGAGACAGTCATATATACCTGGCAGGTCGGGGAGACACAGTCGTATATACCTGGCAGGTTGGGGAGACACAGTCATATATACCTGGCAGGGAGGGGAGACACAGTCGTATATACCTGGCAGGTCGGGGAGACACAGTCGTATATACCTGGCAGGTTGGGGAGACACAGTCATATATACCTGGCAGGGAGGGGAGACACAGTCGTATATACCTGGCAGGTCGTGAAGACAGTCGTCTATACCTGACAGGTCGTGGAGACAGTCGTATATACCTGGCAAGTCGTGGAGACGGTCATATATACCTGGCAGGTCGTGGAGACAGTCATATATCCCTGGCAGGTCGTGGAGACAGTCGTATATAGCTGGCAAGTCGCAAGTCGTGGAGACAGTCATATATACCTGGCAGGGCGTGGAGACAGTCATATATACCTGGCAGGTCGTTAAGACAGTCATATATACCTGGCAGGTCGTGGAGACACAGTCATATATATCTGGCAGGTCGGGGAGACACAGTCATATATATCTAGCAGGTCGTGAAGACAGTCATATATACCTGGCAGGTCTTGGAGACAGTCGTATGTACCTGGCAGGTCGTGGAGACCCTTGTTGATAAAGGTATCACAGTCATATATACCTGGTCGGTCGTGGAGACAGTCGTATATACCTGGCAAGTCGCAAGTCGTGGAGACAGTCATATATAGCTGGCAGGTCGTTGAGACAGTCATATATACCTGGCAGGTCGTGGAGACAAAGTCGTATATACCTGGCAGGTTGGGGAGACACAGTCGTATATACCTGGCAGGGCGGGGAGACACAGTCGTATATACCTGGCAGGTCGTGGAGACAGTCGTATATACCTGACAGGTCATGGAGACAGTCGTATATACCTGGCAAGTCGTGGAGACAGTCATATATACCTGGCAGGGCGTGGAGACAGTCGTATATACCTGGCAAGTCGCAAGACGTGGAGACAGTCATATATACCGGGCAGGTCGTTGAGACAGTCATATATACCTGGCAGGTCATAGAGACAGTCGTATGTACCTGGCGAGTCGTGGAGACAGTCATATATACCTGGCAAGTCGTAGAGACAGTCATATATACCCGGCAGGTCGTGGAGAAAGTCATATATACCTGGCAGGTCGTGGAGAAAGGCATATATACCTGGCAGGTCGGGGAGACACAGTCATATATACCTGGCAGGTCGTGGAGACCCTTGATGATTTCCTTTCGTCGTTCCTAGTCGTATATACCTGACAGGTCATGGAGACAGTCGTATATACCTGGCAAGTCGAAAGTCGTGGAGACAGTCATATATAGCTGGCAGGTCGTTGAGACATTCATATATACCTGGCAGGTCGTGGAGACCCTTGATGATTTCCTTTCGTCGTTCCTAGTCGTATATCCCTGACAGGTCATGGAGACAGTCGTATATACCTGGCAAGTCGAAAGTCGTGGAGACAGTCATATATAGCTGGCAGGTCGTTGAGACATTCATATATACCTGGCAGGTCGTGGAGACCCTTGATGATTTCCTTTCGTCGTTCCTAGTCGTATATCCCTGACAGGTCATGGAGACAGTCGTATATGCCTGGCAAGTCGTGGAGACAGTCATATATTCCTGGCAGGTCGTAGAGACAGTCATATATTCCTGGCAGGTCGTAGAGACAGTCATATATTCCTGGCAGGTCGTAGAGACAGTCATATACCTGGCAGGGCGGGGAGACACAGTCGGATATACCTGGCAGGTCGTGGAGACAGTCGTATATTCCTGACAGGTCATGGAGACAGTCGTATATGCCTGGCAAGTCGTGGAGACAGTCATATATTCCTGGCAAGTCGTAGAGGCAGTCATATATACCTGGCAGGTCGGGGAGACACAGTCGTATATACCAGGCAGGTTGGGGAGACACAGTCGTATCCTGGCAGGTCGTGGAGACAGTCGTATATAACTGGCAAGTCGCAAGTCGTGGAGACAGTCATATATAGCTGGCAGGTCGTTGAGACATTCATATATACCTGGCAGGTCGTGGAGACAAAGGCGTATATACCTGGCAGGTTGGGGAGACACAGTCGTGTATACCTGGCAGGGCGGGGAGACACAGGCGGATATACCTGGCAGGGCGTGGAGACAGTCATATATACCTGGCAAGTCGTAGAGACAGTCATATATACCTGGCAGGTCATAGAGACAGTCGTATGTACCTGGCGAGTCGTGGAGACAGTCATATATACCTGTCAGGTCGTGGAGACAGTCATATATACCGAGACACAGTCGTATATACCTGGCAGGTCAGGGAGACACAGTTGTATATACCTGGCAGGTCGGGGAGACACAGTCGTATATACCAGGCAGGTTGGGGAGACACAGTCGTATACACCTGGCAGGGCGGGAGACAGTCGTATACACCTGGCAGGTCGTGCAGACAGTCATATATACCTGGTAGGTTGTGGAGACAGTCGTATATACCTGGCAGGTCGTAGAGACAGTCATATATACCTGGCAGGTCGTGGAGAGAGTCGTATATACCTGGCAGGTCTTGGAGACAGTCATATATACCTGGCAGGTCGTGGAGATCCTTGTTGATAAAAGTGTCACAGTTGTATATACCTGGCAGGTCGTGGAAGACAGTCATATATACCTGGCAGGTCAGGGAGACACAGTTGTATATACCTGGCAATATATACCTGGCAGGTCGTGGAGACCCTTGATGATAAAAATTTTACAGTTGTATATACCTGGCAGGTCGGGGAGACACAGTCGTATATACCTGGCAGGTCAGGGAGACACAGTCGTATATACCTGGCAAGTCAGGGAGACAGTAATAAATACCTGGCAGGTCGTAGAGACAGTCGTATGTACCTGGCAAGGCGTGGAGACAGTCATATATACCTGGCAGATCGTGGAGACCCTTGTTGATAAAAGTTTTACAGTCATATATATACCTGGCAGGTCGTGGAGACAGTCATATATATACCTGGCAGGGCGTGGAGACCCTTGATGATAAAAAATTTACAGTTGTATATACCTGGCAGGTCGTGGAGACAGTCGTATATACCTGGCAGGGCGTGGAGACCCTTGATGATAAAAAATTTACAGTTGTATATACCTGGCAGGTCGTGGAGACAGTCATATATACCTGGCAGGGCGTGGAGACCCTTGTTGATAAAAGTTTTACAGTCATATATACCTGGCAGGTCGTGGAGACCCTTGATGATTTCCTTTCGTCGTTCCTGCATGGAGATTCTGTCCTCACACATGACCAGGCCAAACATAACAAGAGAAATAAACTGGCTTGTGTACGCCTGAAATAGAAGGGAGGTAACAGGCTAGTTTACAACCATTAAACATCAAAAGGGAGATAACTTCACAAAACATAACAAGGGAGATAAAGTGGCTAGTGTACGCCTGAAATAGAAGGGAGGTAACAGGCTAGTTTACAACCATTTAACATCAAAAGGGAGATTACTCTACAAAACATAACAAGGGAGATCAAGTGGCTTGTGTATGCCTGTAATACAAGGAAGATAGCAGGCTAGTGTATAACCACTAAACATAAGAAGGGAGATTACTCCACAAAACATAACAAGGGAGATAAAATGGCTTGTGTACACCTGTAATACAAGGGAGATAACTGGCTAGTGTTTAACCATTAAATATAACAAGGACAATAACTGCCTAGTGTACAACCATTAAACATAACAAGGGAGATAACTCCATGAAAAATAACAAGGGAGATAAAGTGGCATGTGGACGCCTGTAATACAAGGGAGATAACTGGCTTGTGTTTAACCATTAAACATAACAAGGAAGATAACAGGCTAGCATATAACCTTTAAATATCACAAGGAAGATAACTGTCTAGTGTTTAAAGATTAAACATAACCAGGAAGATAACGGGCTAGTAAGATAACTGGCTAGTGTTTAGCCATTAAACATCACAAGGAAGATAACTGGCTAGCATATAACCATTAAACATCACAAGGGAGATAACAGGCTAGTGCATAACCATTAAACATCATAAGGGAGATAAATCCACAAAACAAAACAAGGGATACATCTCTTGACTTGTTGATTATTTATCACGTTACCCTAATTTAGCTCTCCAAATCTGTCTGTAACGTTATTTTAACACAAAATTACATTAATCTATAACAAAACAACAATCTGCGCTGTTCAAACTCCATGGTTTTTGTAAGGCGAGAGCTTACCTTGGTACTGGCGACACCAATCTCTGGTCCTGCATTGATATGGATACCGCAGTGTGACTCACGACAAATACTACTGCCCACAGTATTAGTCACTCCCACAATGAGGGCACCCCTCTGTTTACAGTAGCGCAGCGCAAGCAGGGTGTCGGCTGTCTCCCCTGTAACAACAGAATTCATAGTTAAACATCTAAACTAGGAAAGAAACAAAGAGGCAGCCAAACCCCTTGACTAAGAACCACCAACCTCTGTAATAAGATTGGGCAATCAAACATGTGTACTAGATAAGGCAGCCAAACCCCTTGACTAAGAACCATCAACCTCTGTAATAAGATTGGGCAATCAAACATTTGTACTAGATAAGGCAGCCAAACCCCTTGACTAAGAACCACCAACCACTGTAATAAGATTTGGCAATCAAACATTTGTACTAGATAAGGCAGCCAAACCCCTTGACTAAGAACCACCAACCTCTTTAATAAGATTTGGCAATCAAACATTTGTACTAGATAAGGCAATCAAAGTTAGTTCGAGAATATGTCCAGGTCATTTCTTATCAAATATTCAGCTCACCTTGCAAGCAACCAATTGACCAAATATTATCACTACATGTATATGCATTTCAGTTAGTTAGAAGAAGTTGTTAAATTATAATTTATTTGACAAATCATGACTCTGGTTTATTTTGGTTCCCCTGTGACTTTGAATGTTCAATGTCACCAAGCGACTGGCTAAATATCATGGTTTAAGGCCTTTCAGTTCTTCAGAAGAAGCTATTAGAAAATTTTAATGTTGAAATATTTCAAAGTGACAAAAAACAATAAAACCACCTTACTCAATATCTAGCATACAGATTTCAGACTAAAAAGGATTTGAAACTAGCACCTCTGATTCTTAACAAGGAAAATGATTTTTTTTTAGCACACTGACTCCTTTGAGCCCCACCCTACAGCCCTTGGGGGTAGGGCTGGCTCAAAATTTTCAAAGTATCAAACTGTCAATTCAAGGTTATAATTCCAATCAAGTTATTAACATGTAATATTCAAAGTATCATTTGCCATTATAAACCATAATAAATTTTGCCCCCCCCCCCCTTCCCCAGGGGGTAAACGTGAGACCCTAGGGTCATAAACCTTAAGACCCTTCCATCTATGAAGAGTATTTGATTCTACCATATCTGGGTCTTGAGAAGAAGATTTTTGAAATTTCAGTAAATTCGACCCTTTTTGGCCCCACCCATCAGCCCCTGGGGGTCAGTCAGGGCTGATATGTGCTTATTATCAAACTGCTACCTAATACTGATAATGCTAACCCAAATTGAATTACTTCCAATGGAAATTAAACAAATGTTGGTCCAAAATGTGATTTCCCTATATAAACTATAGTAAAGTTTACCCCCTCCCCAGGGGGAAACGTGAGACCCCAGGGTCAAGAAATTCACAATTTCGGTAAAGCACCTTAAGACCCTTCCATCTATGAAGAGTATTTGATTCTACCATATCTGGGTCTTGAGAAGATTTTTGAAATTTCAGTAAATTCGACCCTTTTTGGCCCCACCCATCAGCCCCTGGGGGTCAGTCAGTGCTGATATGTGCTTATTATCATACTGCTACCTAATACTGATAACGCTAACCCAAATTGTGATTTCCCTATATAAACTATAGTAAAGTTTGCCCCCTCCTCAGGGGGAAACATGAGACCCCAGGGTAAAGAAACTCACAATTTTGGTAAAGCACCTTAAGACCCTTCCATCTATGAAGAGTATTTGATTCTACCATATCTGGGTCTTGAGAAGAAGATTTTTGAAATTTCAGTCAATTCAACCCTTTTTGGCCCCACCCATCAGCCCCTGGGGGTCAG